CATCCATTGGAAGTTAATTGTCAATCGAAGCCTAGGGGGAAATTACGTTCACCACGGTTGATTAATCAAAAACACCAATTTGCCTTTCACAGTGTACAAAACTGAACAGGACATCGATGTCTTAGTTTTGAACTTTTACAAAAACTATGAATATTTTAATTAAATAGATAATAATACATTGTAAGCGAGAAAGATAATCAAAGACACATTTGCACTGCTTACAACCATCCCCATCAATATAAAAATATATAGAAAATAAAAGTAAAAATGTATAGTACATAAATACAATTGTTAACCCCGCTGCGTTAAAGTTATGAAATGTACTGAATTCACGATCGTTCTTTAGGTATATTTTTTTATAATAAGTCAACTTGATCATACATTATAGTTTATAATAGGTTAGATTAGGTTAGGTTGGGTTAGTTTATGTTAGGTTAGGTTAGTTTAGGTTATGTTATTTAGGTTAGGTATAAAAATAAATTAATTCACAGACCAGAGACCAAACAGTTAGTACAAAGAAACACTTATATGTTTCTGTTGAATAGTTTATGTAAGATTATTTACCAAGACTCCGACCCAGTTTCAACATCCACCAGACTCACGTATTCAAATCAGCTGGTGTCAATGTAACGTGTTGTCCGTGACAGTATATGTAAAAGAAAACGGGCGGTTTTATCATACAAATTACGGTCTCAATCGTAGCCTCCTCTAATACAAGTACGTGGGCGAGAGAAAAGTGGCAACGTCGCTGCCCCGTCCTACCGAACAGCTGTTACGCTATTCATAATGGAGCTTCTCTGCAATGTTTGTGTTACACGTTTGTTATTTCTGATTTTACCGTTGCAATGAGCCGGCCGCTGTGACGTTGCCACACACCAACACGGTCTTGTATTAGCGAAGGCAATATCTCAACAGAAGATGGTTAAAGTATGACGTGCAATTCCAGCTTGAAGAGGGCAAAAAGTTTAGCCAAAATTGGTTGTTAAGTATAAATTATGTATTTAGACAATATTGATATTGATTGACTTTCGTGGTCTGTAAAGTGAACATCCTATATTTTAAAGATACATAGATTTATCCCTACCTTAATTGCAATTCACGTACGAAAGAACGTGGAAAAATATACATTGTGATTATTATTTATTTTAAAACTAGAAACTAAAATCTTTGTTTAGGAAGTTCAACATAACTTTTTGCCAAACAATATTGCTAAACAAAAAATAATAACTATACTTCTCTTTTAAGTCCAAAACGGAAAACGATGACAAAAACATAACACATCTCCAAGTGAGTGTGAGACATAAAGAAGGTTCTACACTGATATATGGGAGTCTGTAGATGACAGTTTACCTATGATTGCTTCGTTCAGTTGTCATTTTATCTTTTCTTTTTTCAATTTTTTTTCTAAAACAACGTTTGAAGATTAGTGTATAAATAAGGAAAATACAGAGTGAAAAACTTGAAAAACCTATTGGAAAAAACGATCACGTTGAAAATTATATTTCTCAATCTTCAAAAAAATCTACGAAAGCTAAAGCTGGGGTTGTAAAAAATGTCAATACGATCGAAGAGGTGAAGTTTTAAACTAAACATGTGGTAAACACATACATGTTATTTTACGAGGTGACTACTTAAGTTAGCTTTGTAAATTCAATTCACAAATTACGTACAGTGGCGATGTGACTTTCGTAAGCTTGAATTTCTAGGTGAGTGATTCACTTTGAGGTAATTCGTTCCAAAGCGGTTTGTTTGGTTTAGTTATTGCATTTAAGACTCTTATATTCGAGAAAAGGAAAAATATATACCAATTTGATACAATTATTTTTATTTGATATGCAATCAAATATTGTCTGTTAGTTAGACTATGGAATTTATACTTGAATTTATCAAGATATATGTAAATAGTACATACATTCATATGTGAACCACACGTTTATCGTTTTAAAAGTAATAAGTGTAATTCAACTTGTGATATGACGAGTAAGTAATCGCTTAAAAACTTCAATATAAACTTATATTTACAAGCAACATTTACCGAGAGACTGATTTTAATTGATTTCAAAAAGACTGTTTTGTTTGGTTTTATAAGTTATTTGAATTTGGTCACATGTTTTAATTGTTTTAATAATGTAAACAACTTATAAGATATATGTCCAGATTACATGTAACCACACTCATTCAATTGTGGTCCTTTGCTTTACTTGAAACTTCAAAGCACGGTATCGATTTATTCACAATTTTATCGATATAAAAAATTTAATAAGTGCTGTAACACAAACAGATAAACCTCATTTACACTAAAATACATGTTCGGTTATTAAATATTACATTAATATATTGTTGAGCATTCCAAAGGATTTCTTACTTACTACGATTAACTTAATTTCTATCGAGGAAACTTGTTATAACTACTGTTTACAAAATTGTTGATTAGCAATACGGAAAAGCTATCATGAATACTAGAAAAAATAACCTAAGAAGTATACATTCATAAGCACATTCAAGCGCAATCCACAAATTGTAAAAACAAAAGGCAAAAATCACTTGAAGGCAAGCACAAAAATGGATTTGAAAAGATACTTAAATAAATGGAATGAAACCGATGCTGAGTCGTATGAAATGCATTTAAATTGGTTCATCACTTTCATATGAGCTTCAGAACAATAGTTACCATTGAGAGTTACTGCTTGTATTTCTTCGAGGTTCTTTTGAGCGTGGCTGGGGTAATTGAATGTGGTGTATTTATATCCTGAAATAAATTTAATCCAACATGGTATAAAAGAGTTTTAAAAATATTGCTCCCTTCATATCGGTTCCCTTGGCAGTTAGAAAATAAATTGTATATGCTCTTATGGAATTTTTTTCATAAATTTATAATAAGGCACAGTTTAAGAAATGAATTGCAGGGCTAATATTAATCGAGGGTTAGTTTATAAATGACTAATTGACTCAAACACATATTCAAATACATTAGTTATCATAAAATAGATATTTATTTGATTTTAATTTCCCGATTTAAAGTCATCTATGAAAGCTAAAATGGTATTGAATGGTTCGATATGCCTTGGAGACAAATTGTGAATGACATTAAATGAATTTTGCGCACGGGTCCCCTGAAAATAGATATAGAATATATAATATAGAGATAGAAAATAGAGATAGATTGCAAAAGATAATTTGTAACATGGAAGCTGTTGAATGAGTTCCGAAATACATTACAAGGTAGAACCGTTGTAATGCGTTTAAAATTACACTTCCGTTTAGAAATGGAAACGGGTCTGATCTTAACATTGGCGCTAAGATCAGTTCAAGAACCATCTTCTTCCAACCACGTCACCTTTTACCACGTATATACATTATCATTAATGATTTCAAAGGTATTTATGGAAAAGATATTGCATAATTTTAAAAACGAAATACCATGTATGGTGGATAAGAAGATACTCAATACACAAGATGTATTCAGTTAAATTGTTTTACAAAGCCTACCTCAATTTGTGTTTTCAGGAATCATTTGCAAGCTCTTACCTGCAACCGCTTAGTTCATACAGTAAAGGAAGTATTCCTGTGTCTCTACAACCAGTTAAAAATATACCTGATTTAATATTAACATTTAACTACGTATGTAATTAAACCAATTCAACTATTAAATTATAATCTTCATTAAACTAATGTTAATTGTGCATCTACGCAAAGGAATTGATCTTTGATCACGCAATTTTAAAACTTATTTTAGTTTAAAGATGATTGAAAAAATAAAAGTAAAAGTTTCTCACTTTTGTGCATTTGATCAACAACTAAAATTTATACGTGTGCTTAAAATTCGATAAAATACTAAATCGTACATCATGATTTTCAACTTGTTAGGTACGTAGATCTTAGTTTTGTTCATTCTAAACACTGTGCAACTAGAAAGAACGCAGCTGATATTGGAAATCCATCCCTGTCAGCTCTTGTAGACCGTCCAAATGTAAAGTTTTTCACGCTGTAACATATTGTAAATGCTAAATAACACACTCAGAAACACTGAAACCTAAACTTCGTTGTATAAATACGTTCTTTAAAATCGATTGACGCTAGTTTTAAATTGTATTATATTTAAGTATGTTTAGAGCTATTGCTCATAAATTAAATATCTTTTAATCCTTAATCCAATATAATTTAAAGCTACTTAAGGGGTGTCTACGACCACAAAAATTGACTAATACAAGAAAAGTATTGCATATAAAAGTTTCTCCACCTTAATAGGCTTGTTAGGTTCGGAATTGTTTGGTTCTGCCGATGTTGGGAGAACATTACACCTAGGGAAGTAACAGGTGTAACAACTGTATAAATTAAGTTGGTTGTGTAGCAAATGAGTGCGGTGAGCTTACGTCTTGGTACAAATTGCAACATCTCCTCTTCCCAGCTCAAGCCATTACAACTTGGGCTCACGATTCGTGCAATTCAACTTTATACTGCATAGATTGAAACAGTACTTTTACGTAACAACGTTTACAACTACTTGGGGTCATTCGGTTGTCATTATTTAACAGCATTTACTGACACATTTGCAGCATTTACTCGGGGACATTTAAACCAGTAAGATACCTATTTAGATGGCATACGAGTTTTCCATGCTCAACTAGTTTCGTCGTAAAGGGCACTGATCTTACTTTTACATCGAAAGATTTATTTCTTATGTTTTTACCAGCTAACCTATGGTGCTAACATATTTTTCCGTAGTAATGAAGGTGCTTAACCTCATAAAATACCATCGACTTTGGTTTAGCTATTTTAACGGCTGAGCTACTTTATTTAAGTTTTTTCTGTGAGAGTTAAGGTATTCGGGTGTACAATGTGTTTGACAAACAATACTCTAAATACATGAATATGAAACGAATATCCTTTTTATAAGATTAATTATCTTGTCTTATTTTAAGATCTCCTCACCTTAATCTCCAGATCAAATATTTTGGAAAACGTTATTTTTTACAACCCACTTCTTTATTTTGTTCCAGACAAAGTGAAGGACTAAACCAGGGGAAATATCACAACAATAAAGGTAAGCAGATTTAGCTTTAATAAAGTGACATTTATTCAAATGTAATTGTATAGTTAGTAGTGTTTATTGTATTATCCAAATGTTATCACCTACGTTCAAACTAAAACCAATGCCCAACACAGCATTTCCGTATGGCCTGAAACATCGACGCAAAGATTTTTAAATAAACGGTATCAGCATTCTGACACATACTTTCTCCCATAAGTTTGTCAACAGCCTTTATCACGTGTAAGCGGTGAGAGTAAATATACGGAAATGGGATTAGTACAATTTTGATCATAATTTAAAGGATAATAATATACAAAATTTTTATCAAAATCGTTCGGGCCATTTTTGTGAAAATCCGATTTTCCCGTTATTTTATGGGGTTTTTATGGGAAAATAACATAATCTACAATAACTTTTGACCGGTAATTTTTACAGAAATGGGATTTGTACCATTTTGTTCAGAATATAAAGGACAATGACATACAAAATGTTTATCAAAATCGTTCGGGCCGTTTTTGGGAAAATCCTATTTTTTCGTTATTTTATGGGGTTTTATGGGAAAACCCCCATTAAAAATCAAAATTTCTAAAAATTTGAAAAAAACTATGAATGTTGTAAGGACCATTACATACTATGTTAAATAAAAAGCGTGTTTTTTTAAATCCTATTTTTCGTTATTTTATGGGGTTTTTATGGGAAAATAACATAATTTACCATAACTTTTGAACCGTAATTTTTAGAGAAATGGGATTTGTACCATTTTGTTCAGAATTTAAAGGACTACAACATACTAAATTTTTATCAAAATCGTTCGGGCCATTTTTGAGAAAATTCGATATTTCCGGTTTTTTATGGGTTTTTATGGGAAATTCCCCATTAAAAATCAAAATTTCAAAAAAATGAAAAAAACGCCTGGAGATACCATGGATTAGAACCTACATACCAAATTTCATCGAAATCGGACTACAGGTGTAGTCTCTAGCTCTGTACACATCCAGACACACACATACACACACACAGACATCACTTCGAAAACCACTTTTTTGGGTCCAGGGGGACCCAAAACGAATATATCCACTCAAAACTCAAACTCGAAAATTTTGACGAAAACAATACTTTCTCCATATACTATGGTATAGGGGGAAAAAGTAATAGATAGTTGCTGTAGACAAAATATAATGTACAATTCGTGTTAACAAATAGAGACACAAGGCTTGCCTAGTCCGTCAACATTTATATTTCTCTCAGTTCATTCACCTATTGGGTCTGAAGATGATTGGAGTTTCCAATCGAAATTGATCACCACTTACCAACTTACCATATTTTATATGTATTTACCGTCTTTTGATTCAACAGTTTAAGCGTAAATATACTATTACAAGTGTTATTTGACGTATTTATTATACTCTCAGGTAGTTTAATAACATGTATGACACTGATCAACGAAACAAATTTTAAAAGAATTAAACCCAACATCACAAAGTAACAAAAAAAAAAAAAAAAAAAAAACAGACATTATAGGTTTTTATTATTTAGGCTATGTATTTTACAATTCAATCTACGACGTAAATAAGAAGGAATATCCCTGTAAATAATCATAAAAATACACTTTATACGTGAAACATTGTACAAAATACTTCAAAAGCTGTAAGGTAAAACCCCATTGTAAAAATGTATAAATAAGCAATTGTATATCAGTTTTCGAAACGAGTGCAGAGAAAACGTTGAATTTTACTTTTCAACAATACGATCAAAGAAAAGAACAGCTGACAGGTCTTAAATCAAGTGTAAAATAAGCTTGTGATTGTAAGGCCAAAAAGCTAAACGATGATTCCCGCATCTTTCATTTACGAACCGAATTACTTTTACTCAGAAATTATGTTTTCCCCTTTGAAAATAGATGTAGTTTTATATTTCTTAAACCCTAAGGTTCCATTGTCATGCCCTTAGACGTAGGGTGTTTTACGAGGAGAAGGTTTGAGTGGCTTCATTTTGTAACGAGTTCATTAAAACATAAAATGCCACCCCCACAACGTATCACCACATGCCATAACGTATTTATCCGAAGTGGTGGATCTTCGTGCATGCTGTCCATGATTTCCCCGATCCACGCCCACATAATTTCTGACAGTAAAATAGCTTGTCAACAAAAACGTTTTCGTATTTATCGATATCAGTATTTCGTCGACGAACTGGTGCCTCCCGTAAATGTCACATTCAGTAGTATTAGCCTCCACTCTAACAAGTACTACTTATACAAAAAGGTTACATCCAACGCAAAACCTGTCATGTCATACCAAGATGCTTTCTGACACATGGTTGCCATGGATTCAAAGTCTCTCTTGACCTCAACAAATCACAAAAATGTCAATGTATTTCACAAACTTTAATGATGTTCTTTTTATGATTGTATTCTCATGAGTTTTCTTGGAAGTACATTTTATTGGATGGAAACATATTTGCTGCCCATGATTCTTGAAAACATAGTCCTATACATGAAATATTGGGGTTAAAATTATTTTTGCAGTTTCAAACATTTAATTTGAGCAGGGCAAATCAATTTAGGATATGAAAATAGTATAAAAATCAAACATATCAAATCTATTTGTGTGTAATTTTTGATTTGTTTTACTAATGTTGATGAAGCTATACTGTCTGCTAAAAAAAATTGTTTAAGGAATCATTAAAGTACTTTCATTATAGTTCGTTCGGTAACGCCACCTTACAAAAATAATAGTTTGTTCATTAGTTTAGTTACCATACCATTTGGACAAGGTTTTTTAATATTTATGCCACTTTATATATTCCATAAATTTGAAAGGTGGAAAATACGAATACAATTGTTGGTATGACATTTCATAAAAACACATCCCACCTAAAGAAAAATTAATACCTTTTCAAGTAAAAAAATATAAGTTTTTATTTAGTGAAAACCCGAAGGTAACGACCCTCTTACTACCCGAAGTTTTAGTCTCTATTTTATCAGAATATATGCAAATTAGAAAGTAAGTAGCCGTCAATTCGCCACCATACAACGGGTGCTAATCTATTTCACAACAAGATTTCACTTTTCCCCATAAAGCCTAGGAAAAAAAATCCTGATGAATTGTTTGCCATTAAGTATCAGTTAAAAAAAGAACAATCTGCTAAACATGTGTGAGTCACACATTTTTAGTTTCCTAGTTCCTAGTTCCTATTCCAAAATGTACACACCTACGCGTTTGAATCATGGTTTGAGTCTTAACAATATTAATTTTTTTATAATCTATCCTAGATGGATTGTGGTGATTATAAAAAAAGAAATACTGCAGGTTCTCTTGGACGATAATTACATTTGATTTCCTTATGTGATGATAATGATAAATAGACTAAGCATAGACTTAGCCTATGCTTAGCCGACTTAGCAATTATCTGAGCCTATGCCTAGACTTAGCAATTATATGACGGTCATTAAAGGACACCTAACAATAAGCGTGCCAAACAGAAACTATTGCGAAATGCAATCTCCATAATTAGCTACAGGTAAATTAATGTTTAAAATTAAAACTAAATCTCATTCAAAGCAATTAATTACATGTCTTTAAATCATGAAAAGTGTATAAATTTTTAAAAATATTACATTATTTAGATCGTTAAAGTTATTGTTACATATTGATTTCTTTCTCTGTTAATTGTCAGCCTCTCATAATATTTTACAATTTTTTCGGCTATTTGTAAGTACACGTACCAATATAAAATGGTGCATGCCGTTGGTGAAAAAATAAATAAAAAATAAACAATCATAAACGAAGCATTACTAACTAGCTCTATATTTGTTATCCGCAACATTAATATTTCACAATAAAACTAAATGGCTTGGATAAATGATTCATTAAATTTATAGCATGATATCGTAAATCTAAAATAACGATGAGACTTAAAATAAAAACTTGACAACAATTAAGTGACGAAACGAAATAAACAAAGCTATTTAAAATCAATATATTTGTTGAAACGCCATTCATTCGGTAAACCAATGACATCAACACACATTGTAAATATATTGTAAAATTAAGCCCCGTGGCAAATCACATTCACAACTGCTGATGAAACAACACACTGTTATTGCGAACTGCGCTCCTCGGTGATTACATTGAACAGGATATCACTTGATAAGTATTGAAACCGTTAAAGAAATCACGAACCCTTAAACTACAGTGTTTATACGAAAATGGTTACATTAAGTGTTCACTTTTATAATAAAATAGTAACTCGAAAACTTACAGTGTGCGGAGGTTTGTTATTCAATCATGCCAAAACGGGTGACATCGAGATATTGAACAAAGAGATTTGCTATAGTCCCATTCACTACCAGGAAACACAAGAACTCTTATACAGAGAAGTGCCAGTAAAGTGAATAAGGAAGGATAAATAGGCCTATGTAACTCTTAAACATTCGCATCGATTTACTACACAGAAGAAAAAGACTAAAATAAGTTTTGAGTTTTTGATATAATTATAAAAGTGTATTACTCAGGCTAGCTGTTAATTGTAAAAACATCAACTCAATTGTTGTATAGAATTTATATATAAAAAAATGCAAATTTACATAAAATAAGACTAAATAATTGCATAGAACTACAAAAGCTACGACATTTAATCCACAAGCATAATATTTTTCATACAACTTTTTGAATTTGTAAAATTCAAAAACGCGTTTACATACTATGCATGTTCAATAATAAGTCAATAATGATTCTAACTTTATTAGGTTGAAACCCATTTTGTGTTGTGGTACGGAAACTAAATACCATAATAGCTTCCTACAGTTTGGTGAACAAATTTATAACTAGGCTTACTTAAAATGTTGGAAACATATCCTTTACATGAATTAAAATGTCAGCATCCAAAACATTTGTGCAAGCATTAGCACATTTTGCTTTATCTACAGTCTTAAAAACTGTAAAGCATTACTCTCGAGCAGTCAAACACGATGAAAATGTGTAAAGATACTTGAAAAATTGAATAAAGCT